GTAGGCTCCCCACCCAGCAGGGAGCCCAACACGGGGCTTCAACTCATGACCCTGAGATCCTGACATCGAGACCTGAGCTGAAATCGAGTCCGACACTCAACCCAACTGAGCCACCCCAAGGAGTTACATTTTAAGGTGAAGGCTTTATCTTGCTGTTTCTGCTTTTCCACATATAGGAAGAAGGTTTTATTAGAAGAGTGTACTCCTCCCTCAGTTCTTTTAAACTCAGAATGCATTTTCCACAGAAATAAAAAGTGGACAGGGTCCCAGGCTAGACTGCAAAGATTATGCAACTTTAAGGCAACTAAATATTTAGCATTTGATAAAGCAAAAAACCACAAAACAGAAATCAAACAAAAAAATAAAAAATAATATTTTGTTTTGAATATTGCTTCGAAAAATAGATGTAAGCTAGATTTTGGATATTTTCAAAGTGACTGGAAACATATTTTTTAAATATCTGATTTAAACTTCAAAATGTGAAAAGGGGTTTCCTTTCCCTTATGATCTACCAGCAATTAATATGAGGCACAATTGTATTGTAAAGTAAGCATTTACATTTTATTTACATTTTTTAGAAACTAGAAAAGACAGGGTTCTGATAGTCTACCTAAAGAATCTCTTCTACAAAAATCTTTCCTGGCCACTCAATTCCATGCATTCCCCTTTTTATCCTTAATACTTGTTATCCCACCATGCTATAGAAGGATTTGTCGAAACAGGTACATCCCTACCAGAACATAACCTCCTGCAAGATCAGGTCTTACTCACTTCATGTTTCTCTCAGCACGGGGCTCTGACCATAGCCGGGCTTCAAGAAAAATTATAACTCAAAGCAGGCCACTGCTTTAGGTGAAAACAGCTGACATTAAACACAGGCAACTCCTCTCTATAATTTTAACTCATAATCCTAGATCTGGTGGCACACACAATGCACCATCAACGGCTCGGTCACTGACTGCCTCTGCAATCTTGAATAAATAAAAAATCCCCGAGGCCATAAATTTTCAGGATCAGGAACTTTGTACCATATTTTCCTGGACACCCAGCATTTGATAATCATTTACCACGTTGGCCACCAAGCACCTGTATGCAAAACCCTTACACGAGGATGATATAGGAATCAGCATTAAATGAATGTCAAAATTATAGGCCATCATCTCCCGTCCCCTTTTCTTGTAAGGTCTACAAAGTCAAACCACAGAAAATGGTTCTTTCCCCCTCTTTTTTTTTTTTTCATTTGAGAATGGTTATTTCAAACATGGCTAATAGGTATTCCTTTTGTGCGCTTTTAAAATACAAAACAGGAATAGAAATTCTGGTCTTCTTTATCAGTAATAATCAGGAACGTTACAGTCACGTTCCTATTGCTCCTTAAAAACTTACCATCAGGAAGATGAAACAATTTTCCAAAAACAGATCCAAAGGGGGTGGGGGAGAAGTTTTGCTTAGAAGGAATACAGGAAAAAATGGGTTGGGTTACAATTATTTTGATCAGAAGCAAGGTCAAAGTTGCCTCTTGCAGACAAAAAGTAAATATGCAACAAATAAACGAGCCCCACTCCTAGTGCTGCCCAAGAGAATCGTCTGTGGTCACGGAAATGTTCTATGTCCGCTCTGTCCGGTCGCGCAGCCACGAGCCACACCGTCACTCTAGAGCACTTGAAAAGTGCCGACTGAGGAACTGCATTCTAGATTTTAATCTTAACTAATCTGAATTTAAGAAGCCAAATACAGCTAGTGTCTCCCCTACTGAACGGTGCAGCTTCAGATTTTCTAAGTCCATGCGTCTCAACCAGAGGCAGTCTCCCCACCCCCCGGGGAACAACTTCTTCATTCGCCGACTCTGGTTCTCACACTACAAGAAATGCTACTGATGGAGACCAGAGATGCAGTTCAACATTCTACAATGCACTGGCCAGCTTCTCCCAACACGGCATTATCCAGCCCAGCATGCCAGCACAGCTGCGTTTAAGTTTACTCAAGGCTGGAATTAAAGTAAATGCAAATAAATTGTAATACGCTTTGTCCAAACATAATACCCAGGAAGAACAAGCTTTATTAAGGAACAGGAAAAGGTCTGGGCTGTTGTACAAGTTTAAAGGAGCAGGTCTTTACTGAAAAGTGTATGCAGGTGTGTTAACTTAAGATCTAAAGCATCAGAATTGTTATTTCTTGTGGCATTTTTAAAACTTGATTATTAACCTAAGTAAACACTGTGAGACTATGAGATAGGGCCTTGCCCCTTAATGAGTTGGACACAGAGTACCGGGGGGCTGAGGCCCTTACACCTACTCTTCTAGTCCGAATGCCTTGCCCTTTCAACTGACCTGTCTTGGTTTCTTGAGACCTCACTAATTTCAGATACAGCGGAGAGTACTGGGAAAGAGGAGCGGTCAGGACAAGAAAACGTCTCTGTCATGGCAGGTCTCACATCTACATATTATGTAAAGAAAAGGCAAGAGTACAGAATTATATTTGGACCAAAGGAAATGTACTGACTGATTGTACTAGATGAGGACGGACTACTACATTCAGAGAGAACTATTACTTGAAATTAGAGGATGGGAATCAAGTAACATTGTGGTTTCTGTAGCCAGTGTAAATTATGCAAGGATCCGTTTAAATGGGATCATTCAGGACTGCTCAAATAGTTTTATATTAGCAATGTACAATTTAGCAGAACAGCCTATCCCTCAAAGAAACAGGAATAGCAGACACAATTCAATGTTTTTACTTTGATTCAAACTCTTTTTCAGAACACGAAACCCTCAACGTTCACATAGCAATTCTTTTTCTTTTCTGCCCACTTAGCACCAACTGAAATCGCTCATTAGATGTGAACAGGGAATATAAAAATAAGACACAGTCTTAGTCCTCAAACACTTGCATTCAGAATTTCCACACTGGCCTAAGGCAGAAACTTCCAGCCCACACATTCTGAATTCCTCAGAGATCACTGCCATTTTTGTGAATGCTCCAGCCGTAGGCACTCTGGAATTTCATCGCACTTCAGATCCTCATTTGGAGAGTTTACGATCCTTTGGCATCGATCAACATTTATAGGGAGAAACCAGTATAATCGACTAATTAAACACCAGAAAAGTAGTATTTTTAAAGCGGGATTCCAACCCACTGTTTTTGCAGATTTGCCTGTAAGAAACTATTCTTGGAGGAAAGGTCACGCCAGTTCTTTAGGTTTCTAACTGAAAAGACACAACGCCCATCCTGTCTTATGAAACTGGACAGGAAACAACACAGAAGAGGCAATTTTAGTATCATTTTATATTCAACTACTGGCCTAACACAGGTGACCTAGACCAGGGGTTCTCAGCCTCAGCATGACTAACATTTTAAGCACATATTCTCTGGTATTGAGGCTGTCGGATGCAAGGTGGAATGTCCACCAGCATCCTTAGCCTCTAACCACTAGGCGCCAGCAGCACCTCCAGCCGCCCCCCACCCGGCACCCCCCTCAGCTGTGACAACCAAAATGTCTCCAAACAAGCTGCAAAATGTCCCCTAGGGAACAAAACTGCAATGGTGGTTGAGAATCACTGACCTAGCCTGTAACTCAAAAGTACCACAAGGCAGGGGTGCCTGGGTGGCTTAGATGCTCAGCATCTGCCCTTGGCTTTGAGGAAAACCTGCTTCTCCCTCTCCCTCTGCCTGCAGCTGCCCTGCTTGTGCTTGCTCTCCCTCAAATAAATTTAAAAAAAAAAAAAAAAAAAAGGTACCACAAGGTAGACACCGTGTACTAATCAAAAGCCTGGAAAGACTTTATTCCTAGCCAGCAAAACACATAAGGTTAAAAACATAATCTTCTTCTATTCTTGACTGTCTTCCACCCAATTTATAAGAAACCTTCCATGCAATTTATGAGGTGTAAGCTATACATCCGGCTGAACTGGTACAACTACTCCCTTCAACTTTCCAGTGACAAGAGAACCAATCTACAGCAGATGCCACACTGGGGCGGGGGGGGGGGCACACCATGACAAAGTGTGACATTTCTGCCAGTTCAAAACCAAAATAAGGCAGCACTGCTCCCGAATTCTGCATGCACAAAAGAACAGGGTCTGCACGAGTGGACTCACAAGCTCGAAGACGAAGAACCTGGAGGGAAGACAGGTATCCAAGCACTGGTTCTCATCTACCAGCCCTAAATCAGGGACAATCAGAATCCATCCCCCTTGCCAGAGCAGTGAGCCAGGTACATCCCGCAGCTGCGCCCCCAGGGCAAACCAGAGGAAAGCGAGGCTATCTGGGCACTTCGGATTCCCACCCACTCCCCCACCGGAAAGGGGGAATAGCAGAGCCCCCAAAACGCAACTCACCACCTACAGAAGACCCATCCCTTCTCGACCTCGGGGCCAGGGGAGGAGTGGGCTCTTCACAGGTGTTCACAAACTACAGCGTCAGAATCACGTGCGGGAACTTGTTAAACAGGCAGCTCCCCGTCCCGCCCCCACTGAGGGTCCGACCCCACTGCCGAAAATCTGGCTGTTTACCAACGGCCCCAGGGGATCCCTAGTCATGCTGAAGTTGGAAACCCACTGCTTCAACCCTGTTTCCCCACTGACTTGAAGACCACAGAAAACCTACAGGCTTGCAGTTGGCTCCGAAACCACCAGAGCTTCTGTCCACGCTCTTCTGGGGCCGCAAGTGTGTAGCTGTCACCCGAAAGGGGGAACCGAGCTCGGGCAGGCCCCAAGGTCGGCCCCGCGGCTCCCGCACCCGGCTATGCGCAGAACCGGCCCGGCCTCTCTCGGGCCACGGGGACCCGAGGGGCTCCCGGCCCCATGACGTGACCAGGCCTCAGCCGCGAGCGCCCAGCCGGACGCCCTCGCGGCCAGGCCTCCTCAGGCAGGGCCAGTTAGCCCCTGGGCCCCTCCCCGGTCACAATGGCAGCTCGCGACCGGGAAACAGTCGCCCCGGAGCCAGGAGACCCCGGGCCGCAACGCCGCCACCTACCCCCTCCCCCCAGCCCGAGTACGGACCTTCTCCAGGGACGCGTCCATGGCTGAGGCGGCCGGCGGAGCCCGATGGAGGCTCCGCGGTCCGAGCGCTACTTCCGCCTCCCGCGGCCCGCCGCGGTATCCACGCTGGCAGCGCTGACGTCCCCCGCGGCCGCGGCCGGCGGGGCGGAGACGAGGAGGAGCTCCTGGCGTCGCCGCGGGGTGGGAAATCTGCGGGGCTAGGGGAGGCGGGGAGGCGGGGAGGCGGGGAGGCGGGGCGGGCCCCTCGGGGTGGGCGAGGCCCCTCGGGGTGGGCGGGGCCCTCTGGGCTTCCGTACCTGGCCGTCACGCCGGCCAGCCCTAACGTTCCCAGGTGAGGGGGGGAGGCACTGTGGAGTCGTTCCCAACACTCAGAAGCCCATCGTAGGCTTCGGGGTAGACATATCATAACCGCCAGTGATCACTCCTGTGCTGAGAGTCTGGAAATGCTAGTGATGCACCTGTATTTCCGGGCCTAGGCTTCCAAGCTGTCCCCACTGTCAACATCCCTCAGGAATGGAACAGGCCATGCACCACGGAAGGGCGGGGCTGGAGAGCGCCCCCGCGCCTGCGCAGGATCGGCCGTTGACTAGGCGCCCCAGGAGTTTGCGGGGCTTCAGGTGTAAGGTTCTCCAGTGACGCGTGTTCAAAAAAGGTGCTAGTGCGATCTGGGGTATTTGTCTCGGATCCTCCCGCAGGATCCAAGATGGAAAAGACTTTGAGACAGCTGGTCCAGCTTCCTCCATTATGTGGAGCCGTAATTATGACTGGTCAGGTGATAATAATAATAATACAAATAATAATAGTTCGCTGCTCCTGTTCCACTTTATAGTGCAAGCGACCCTGTGATGGAGAGGTCGTTACCCATTTCCCAGTGCCAGTCTAGGTGGGATCCAGACGCAAGCACCCTCACTGCGGCGCCTGTCCAGTACGCATCTTGCCTCCATAATCGCTCCCCTTCTTGCCGTACAAGCATGTGTTTCTCACGAATGCGAGAGGGCATGCATTTGCTTATTCCTTTAATGAGGAAGACTGCAACAGACTTGTCTCCCACGTTTGCAGCCACTAAAGCACTTCACCAAAGACCGATGACGTTACAACCACAAAACCATACCCTTTCTCGCCTCTTCTGTGCGCATCTCTTCCGAAATCTGCGTAAATGACTGGGTCACATTTTCAGTGTAGTAATTACATGTTTTGTGCTATCTAACTTGTGTTTGGTAAATTGCCCAGTTATGTTAATAAAATTGTTTTCTACCGAAAGAAGCCTTGTGTGCCGGTTCAGAGCAAAACAAATAATTTTTTTCCAATTTATTATGAAAATGTTTAGGGACCCTTGGGTGGCTCTGTCGGCTAATCATCTGCCTGCTGCTCGGGTCATGATCCCAGGGTCCTGGGATGGAGCCCCACATCTGGCTCCTCGCTCAGCAGGGACCCTGCTTCTCCCTCTGGCTGTCGCTCCCCCTGCTTGTGCTCGCTGGCTCACTCTCTGAAAAATAAATAAATTTTTTTTTTTTTTTTTAAGAAAGCAGTCAAACATTTAGAAAAAAAAAAAATGAAAGAATTGTGCAGTGAACAGCCACGTGCCCACTTTCTAGATTCTACAATGAGCATTTCCCTATATTTGCTTGATTTTGTAAGCATCTAATCTATTCATCAATATGTCTTCTGTTTTGATACACTTCAAAGTTGCAGACATCAAGATATTTCGCCCCTGAACATCTCATCATGGATATCATTAAAATTTCGTAATTTCTAAAGCCACCTCCAAGTGTCTTTGCATTACATTACAAAGTAGATTGTACAAAACAGAAACTAGAGAGATGAAACTAACATTTTCTATTCTAGAAGCAAACTTTAAAACATGAAAATTATTCCCCCCATGAAAAATGGGAATAACTAGTTTAATATTTACCCAAATATATTTGTTGGCTGCCACCTTGGACAGTTTCAAAGTTTTAAGTGTGATTTTTTTTAAAGATTTTATTTATTTTATTTGACGGAGAGAGCGATCACAAGCAGACAGAGAGGCAGGAGTGGGGGGGGGGCGGGGAAAGCAGGCTCCCTGCTGAGCAGAGGGCCAGATGTGGGGCTCGATCCCAGAACCCTGAGGTCATGATCTGAGCCAAAGGCAGAGGCTCAACCCACTGAGCCACCCAGGCGTGCCTTAAGTGTGATATTTAAAGGCATGAAGAGTGTTCACTTTTATTTCTAGAAGAAATGAAATTAAGTAACAAAAATCAGGAGGTGGAGAGGATAGGAGAGCTGGTGCAAATGGCAATAAATTTCCCATTTTATAGAGTAAGGAAACAGATTCTTTCTAAATTAAGTAACAGATACAAAGATTTTTTATTTACAAAATAGAAGGCGAAATCTATGGAATGGGAGTAGGGGTTTAGAGAAGAATGAAAAGAAATTGGCAAATATCCCATTTTATATTCTGCATTATCGAATTTTTACCATTAGTATTTCTCTTATGAATTAAAAAAAAAGTTAAGTAAATTACCTGTAAAAAATAGATTTTAATCATTTTTTAAACCTTACCCGGAAATTTTGGACAGAAGTCTGCAATTCCTAAAGGCAACTTGAGGTGGCAACGCTGAGACCTTGCTTCCTTAGCTTCCTCAAGTTCATGAACACAGTTAAAAAACAAAAACAAAAACAAAAACAGGTTTTATTGTTAAAATATAGGAAACAGCTTAAAAGAAATGAATTGTCCTTGACTAACACCCTATAATCGCCATCCCCTCCCTGAGAGGAAACTTCTCAGACACCCCATAAGTCCTCTGGGAGCCCCTGCCCAAAATAAATCCGGCTCCCCCCACCCCAAGAAAAAATAACCACTTTCTGACCTTTACAGCAATCATGTCCTTACAATTCCTTTGCAGTTTTATCACCCAGATGTGCATCCATAAACACTATAAAAATATATCCATAAAAATATATACATAGTTTCTTAACATAGTCTCTCTTTATATTTTGTCATTTATTTATATATGTCATATGTATGTCATATATATTCATATACATATATGATATATGTAGTCACTTTTAATCCATAGGTTTTCCTATATCTTTTTTCTTCCCTTTACATTTGATTTGTTGAAGACATCAGGGTTACTATTCTAGAATTTTCCTTAGCCTGGATTTTCCTCTGTTCTCTGTATTTCCTGCAAATTGGTAGATGGATCCAAGGTGTAATCAAGTTCAGGTCTGAGGTTCTGGGGACCTACTCAGAAACCGCTGTTGTTCTCTTTATCAATAGGTTTGTAGGGCGCCTGGGTGGCTCAGTGGTTTAAGCAATGGCCCTTGGCTCCGGTCATGATCCTGGAGTCCCAGGATTGAGTCCCGCATAGGGTTCCCTGCTGTGCAGGGAGTCTGCTTCTCCCTTTTACCCTCCCCCTCTCAAGCTTGCACTCTCTCTCTCTCTTTCAAAAATTAAAAAAAAAAAATGAGGCATGTCCTACCTGGTTTTCTCTTTTTGTGTTGTTAGCAGGCGCTAACATTCTTTACTTTACATTAATTCTGACCTAAATGAGAAAAGCTGTGAATTTTCTCATGCCACCCACATTTTTATATCCAAGGAAGTTTGCCAAGATATGATTCTTATCACCCTTTTGTGGTTGTTTGACAGAATTTTAGACTTGTAGGAAAGTTGCAAGAGGAGTACAAAGAATTCTCTTAAACTCTTCACCCAAATTCCCCGAATGTTTTAATGTTCTCTTTAAATGAATACATGAATACGAACACACACGTATTTTTTCCCTGATTCATTTCCTAGTTGGTTGCAGATGATGTCCTTTCATCTCTAAATAACATAATGATATTACTCTATTCATATTTGGGCAATTTTCCCAGTAAAGTCCTTAATAGAAAGTCTGGAATAGGGGCGCCTGGGTGGCTCAGTTGGTTAAGCGTCTGCCTTCGGCTCAGGTCATGATCTCGGGGTCCTGGGATCAGTCCCGCAACAGGTACCTTGCTCAGTGGGGAGCCTGCTCCTCTGCCTGCCTCTCCCCTGCTTGTGCTCTCTCTGTCAAATAAATGAATACAATCTTTTTTAAAATTTTAAAAAAATAAAGCATTAGGAAAAAGTCTGGAATAGTGTGCCCTTGAATAGTTCTTTTGTCTCCATGTATCTCACAACAGGTAGGAGTACAGGACAAATACTTTGTAGAATGCCCATCAGTGGGGGTTTCCAACTATTTTTAAGAAGATCCTAATGTTGATTTTTAGAATGCTTTGTGATTTTCCTCCATAAACACCTTGTATGGACCAGAGCCCCACCTGATAGAAAAGTAGATGAATTTCTTATTATTCACAAATCTCAGATAATAAATAACCATGTTTTCCTCCCAAGAAGCCTACAAAAAGTTATAAAAGCATTCTTTCAACTGTAGACTTATAATGCAAAGGTATAAACAGTGGATTACACAGGGGCCAGCTTTTCCCTGGTTCATAGAAGAACACACCCTACGAGCTCAGATCCTTGACCTAAATCAATCTGGGCTCTTCAAACCAAAAAGCTACTCGGGCCAGTTGCTTAACATCATGCTGTTTTTGTTTCCTCATCTGAAAATTCAGGTTGTACTCCTCTTTTTGTGCTCTTCAAGCATCCTTGTGGTTTTTAATTCAAAAAACAAGCAAACATCCACCTCTTCTTTCAGTTATGTTTATGGTCTCAATTTTCCTCACACATGTACCACCAACTCATTTCTTTTTTTTCTTTTTAATTTTTATTTATTTATTGGACACACAGAGAGAGATCACAAGTAGGCAGGGAGGCAGGCGGGGCGAGGGCGGCGGGGGAAGCAGGCTCCTCGCCGAGCAGAGAGCCCGATGCAGGGCTCGATGCAGGGCTCGATGCAGGGCTCGATGCAGGGCTTGATCCCAGGACCCTGAGATCATGACCTGAGCTGAAGGCAGAGGCTTAACCCACTGAGCCACCCAGGCACCCCCACCACCAACTCATTTCAATCTGTCTTCATTCCACCCAAATCTCGCTAAAGTCATCCCATCCATTATACACAATGTGTCCGCCACCTTAGATCCAGATAATGGCCTCCTTTTGGAAACTGAGACTCCCCTTGTCTCCCAGGATCAAATCTCTCGGTAGTGCTCTCTGTCTGCCTCTTCTGCATCCTTCTTCCTCTCTGCCACATTTCATCGCTGGATTTCCTCTTTTCTCCCTCTGCCTTGTGTCCTCCACTCTTTCCCTCAACATCTACACCAGTGTTGTTTTCAAAC